GGTCGAAAATTGGCTTGTTATAGCTGTCTGATTCGATTAAGTTTATAATTCCGGCATAATAGATTCAAATTGATATACTGTATATAATTTAATATCCGGTGATTAATGTAAATATTACAAGACTTTAGTATGCGTAGTATGTATATCAGTGATGCAGAAGAATCGTCCCAATGATGTCGAATGATAGTTGTCACATGACTGTAACTTGCCGTAACAATAGTAAGTAATATAATATTACTTACTATAGTTACGGCAAGTTACAGTCATGTGACATCATTGGGACGATTCTTCTGCATCACTAATGTATATATATCTCTGGTTGAATACAGTAATATGATACTTCAAAGCATCTTCGCTGGAAATACAATAATTGAAAAAATAAATTTAGAAAGCTTATCAATTCGATAAATTACGAAACACTTAGGTGTTAGTATGCCTTCTATAAATCGCACTTTCAAACATACGGATATATTGAGAAACTTCCACCATTTTACCAGGTATTCCGGAATTTATAAAACAGTTGTAATCTGGTATTTCCCGGAGCAGAAAATGAACGAACTCAAATCACGAGCAAGGTTGAGAAATTTTTAATGCAAATTCTGAAAAATTCCATTTAAATATTTGGAGTACAGGCTGCTCAGTGATTGCTCTCTATACTAGTTACATCAACGTTTAAGGATTATCTTAAAAACTTTATGAATTTCTGTTTGACCCGTTGACCCAAGTCAAATACTGACCCACCCGGGTCAAAGCTCTATCTGTATAATTAAAATAAAAAAAAATTATTAATTTTAGATAGGTGGTTGCCAAGATATCTTCACTCAAAGCTTGAAAAAAACTTTGCGCAATCTATTTGGTAGTTATATAAGTTTTTTCTTAAATTTGAGTGAAGATATCTTGATAACTACCTATTTAAAATTAATAAAATTTTTTTATTTTAATTATACAGGAATTTAGAGCAGAATAAAAAAATTTTCATTGATTTTAGATAGGTGGTTGTCGAGATATCTTCGCTCAAATTTTGAAAAACTTTTTCGTAGCTTGTTTTGATAATTATCTGTTTTTTCTAAACTTTGAACAAAGTTATCCTAACAACTATCTATCTAAGATTAATAAAAAATTTTGATTCTAATTCTATATGTCTATATAGTTAAAATAAAAAAAAATTTTTATTAATTTTAGAAGTTTAGAAAAACTAATGATCAAAAGCTATAACAAAGTTTTTTTCAAATTTTGAACAAAAATATCTCGATAACTACTACCTAAAAGTAATAATTGCATTTAGTTTTTTAATTATACAAATATATATAATCAGAATAAAAAATTTGTTAATTTTAAATAAATAGTTATCAAGATACCTTCACCCAAAGTTTGAAAAAATTTACTACAGTTTGTTTTGATAATTATTGAAGTTTTTTTAAATTTTGAGCAAAGATATCCTGGCAAATATCTATTGTAAAGAATAAAATTTTACTTTTTTTTTATTATATTATATTTTATCTTATTTTATTTTTATATAAACATATTATTATATTTTTAGCTTTTATTTTTATATATATAGTTCTTTTTAATTCTATTTTTATAGCAATAACTAACTTTTTTTGTTATGTATAAATATTTTAATCAAGTATACTAAAATGGTAGTTGATAATAGCTTGGTGACTTATTTTATACAAGAATATAAATGCTTAAAAAAGAGCATATATGTATTTACACAAATTTGTTTATTTCTGTGTCATAAGCATATATGCTTAAAAAGAGTATATATGTTCAAATTAAAGCATATATATTTAAAAAAGAGCGTAAATATTCTAACTACACAAAATGTATATAAGTATCTAGAATTCAATAATAAACTACTTATCTTGCCCACCTTCAATTCCTAATAAACAATAAAATATATATACTTATCTGAATTTCCCTTAAGCTTTATCTTTTAAATTTGACTTATAACTTTAATAAACCCTTTTAAGACTCAATTTGACAGGCTAAATTGACTAGTAACTTTGATTTGGCTTATTAAAACTCAGATTCTGGTCCAGTTGTAGAATCAAATATTGCTATTTATATTAGTAACTTGCAAGAATTGTGGTAAAAAATTATATTTATGATTGGTTATTCAACTCGAATTATCATCACAGTACTTGAGATTACAACTTTGTTATCATCCTTAATAGCATCACCTGTCATTATATTGCCTATTATCAATGCTTGTTAATATCAAAGTATTACTCTAAAATCTATATTGCTCTACTAGTTTCTTAATACTTATAAAAGACTCATTTTATTTACCCTAAATTAGCCTTATTATCTGTATACTGTTAGAGTTAAATTTGCATCATTTTTGTATTATTTTATTAGCTCTTCCATTTAACAATTACACTATTTAAAATTAATAAAATTTTTTTATTTGATTATATAGACATATACTGTAGTATACTGACCAAAGTATCACCCTTTTTGTGTACCTCCGCTCAAAGTACCTGGGTACTTTGAATAGCACTTTTTTTTTGCCAAGAATAGTACTCTGGGTACTTTATAATTATCGAAGGTAAGTTTTTTGTATAGAACTCAGGTACTTTGTAATTTATAATTACTTATTCACAATCATGTTTGTTTGTAAAGGTGTAATATTTAGTTAATGTCTCAGTAATATTTATGTACTAGTGCTATAATAATCAAACAAATAAAAACTATGATTCTTCTATTTTATAAAATAAAAAAAAAGGTTTTAAGATCTTAAGATTTAAAATGTTTATGACTTTTAAGTTTTTTAAATAAATTATTTGATAATTACGAACACTATACACATGCTAATATTCATGCAGAAAAGATTTTTATCAAAAAATTTTATACTATATATACTATATGCACTATTCATGTAGGTGATCAGATCAATTTGTGTATGCCCTAAAATTTTTTGTCGAATTCAGGTTATTTAATGCATTTCAAATTTAAAATTGGCTGAAAGTTTTTATTTATGAAATATTGTCGCATCACTTTTGAATCAAGAATCAAAATTTTACCTAAGCCGCTGATATTTATTGTCTTGGATAAAATTTCGATTAGACAAAAAGTTTTTGATGTTATAAATTTGATATTAATTGAATTAGTGAAACAATGCATAGATTCAAAAAAATTTTTTTTTCAATAACTTTTTAGCGATAACACTAAGAGACGACATTGGCATTCTAGACCTGATCTTTAATAAACTAGGATATTTGAATATTAGTAAATTAAAATACAATCATTAAATAAAAAAATAATCAACCAATTATAAAAATTAAAATTTTTTTCTGAGACAAAACATAAACTAGCAAGATATAAAATTGATTTTATTCAATTATATCTAATTGTAAAAGCAAAAAAAAATTTGCTTACAATTTTACATTAAAATTGAAATGCTTATGTAAGAATCTATACAACATAAACCACCAAACTTAATTTTTTTTTTTTATAATCTGAGAGTTTTCATTTCTATTAGTTCCAATCTTGAATGATTGTTAATTCTTAGCCTTCTTCATAGTAATTATCAAAAACTAAACCACTTTCATTTTCATTAATGCTTTTATTTTCTTCTCTTTCTCCATTGTTTTTACTATCATCATCACTATCATTTTTACTATCATTTTTATTATCGTTTTCATCATCATTTTCAGCATCATTTTCACCATTGTTTTCACCATCATTGTCATCATTGTTCTCACCATCATTGTCATCATTATTTTCATTATTATCCAATTCTTCTTGACTTTTAATTTCTCTTTCTGGATTTGTTTGGTTCATGATTCTTGTAAAGTCAAAAATCAAGTTATCTTCGGTTTTGTCTATTGCATTAGCGATTTCACAACATTTGAAGAACTTTCTAATCATATTAATATCAATAGCTTTCCAGGCCTCTTTTACCCAAGTAGCAACCAAAAGATAAGAAGGTCATTTCATTTTGCCGGTCTTAGTATATTCTTTAATTCCTTCATCCATCTATCGGTTATAAAAACTTCGCATCTATTAAAAAATTTTTTAAAAAATCCAGATGGTTATTTAATAAATATAATTATAAAAAAGTTTTTTGAAACATAAGACCATATTGACTTAATACGCAGTAACTCTTGGTATAACAAATTGTTTAGGAAATTAGAAAGAAATTGGCAATATTATAGATTTATTAGTAAATCTATTATATCAAGTAGAATTAATTATAAGGGACCAACGTAAAGTTTGGTTCAACTTGAGCTGATTGGATAGTTTTTGATTAATAATCAAAAATTAGCTAATCATATTATCACCTCATGTTGGATTAGGTCTCATGTTGGTCTCTCACAATTATTATTGTGTGATCTAATTCTAAGTTCATTGTATTAAGATTTTACTTAGTTTCGTCATACCAAGAGCATATTATCTTGAAAGTTACATATAGATAGGTTTTTATAACCTGGTCAAATTAATTTTTGCTCATGTGTTAGATTTTTACCTTTGATTTAAATGATTTGCTCATAGAGACATCAAGAGGTTGTAAGCGAGACGTTAAACCACTAGAGATTAATGTCAAGTCAGTATTCTTTTCCACAAACTGCTATTTTACAAAGTTTGTTTTATGATCGGTAAACGAATTCAGAATTAACAAGAAATGTAGATTATTTCTACATTGTGCACGCCGAGTCCAGATATTCTCTACCCATCTAGCAATAACAAGATAATTAAATAATAATAAAAATATAGCAACTTATACTAAGATTTGAAATCTCTATTTAGATTTATAATATCTACTAAAATTTTTTTATTAATAATACTAGCTCTAAACTTTAATCTAATTAAAAAAAAAACTACAAAAAAAACTCTAATAATCTTATAATTTTATAGAATAGGTAAAATTCTTAGCTTAAGCCAATTTCAGTATAAACTACCATAAAAAATAATATTGTTGCAATGTTTATATTAAAATTTTTTAGTTTTTATACCACTACAATATCTCATTTTCATTCATCTATTTTTGAGGATTCGCATGTACAATAATGCCATTGGGAAATTCTTCGCAAAGTACTTTAACTAATTTAAAAATTATTAGGGGAGGTAATTTAGTGCTATCGGCCAAACAGGCTAAAACAACAGTAAAATTCAAACATTCATGCTCGGTTGATAGAATTGATATAGTCTTAGTACCCCTTTCTTCAATTGTGGTAATATTTGATATACTAAAAGCCATGGCAGTTTTATTCATATTGCCAATTAAAGACAAAAAATAGTCATATTTATGCCACTTAAAAAGCACAAGAGACAAAAACTCATTTTGGTCCTCAATAAAACTCTTAGAAAAGCATTAGGCAATGGTAGTTCTTCTTCGGTTTACTAAATTATTCCTAGACATAAATCTGTTCACCTATTTTTGTGGAAATTTGTTACTTTGTAATCCTCTATATTTTTCTTGATAACAGGATACAGCACATAGAGAGCGAGCTTTGGCTTGAATCATAAATCAGCTTACGGTTTTTTGCTGAGCTCGAGCATTTTGAAACCATTCAAGTAATTTGGCTTCGAGTTCAGGATACTTGGGGTGGGCCCTATTTGATAGCTTTTGTATATAAGGTGCAACTTTCATAAGTTCTGATTTTTTGCTTATCTACTACCAAAGTTGCTTCGGCTCTATTTCAAACTCATTAGCAGTCGACCGTTTACTATGTCTTTTTTTACAGTAAGCAATTATCATCAACTTTTACATACCGACCATGTTCTTTTTTTTTGTATTATACGAGCATACTGAGCTTTAAAGTTTCCACAAACTATCTTATTTCTTGTATATAGTTTATATTGGCTTAATACTGAGTTTGTCTCAAGTCTTATTAGAGACTATTGGTGGTGGAGTGATTTTACTAATGTCTTGTTACCTTTGGAACCAAGTTTATTAAAGTATATCTTGCAAAGATACTTCAGATTGGTAGTGCTATTTTTTTTTTTTTGTTAGTTTTGATCCATATATCAAGATAAGCAAGTAATATTTTGTTACTCTGTTCTTAACACTAGTATTTAAATGTAAAGAAAGTTTAAGAAGTTTAAGAAAGTTTAAAAAAGTTTAAGAAATTTTATGTATGGAAAGTTCATTGATGTTCATTTGTATCATTATTTGTATTACTTAAAAATATCATATACAGTATCCCCACATAAAGTATCCCTCTAGCAAAAGACCCTCCTACACAAAGTACCTATCACCGATCAAAATACCCACAGGTACTTTATAAGTTTTTTTTGGGTTAGATTGTATTGGACTCTGGGTACTTTGGTCAGTGCACTATGGTAAATAGAATTGGAATTAAAAAATTTTTATTGATTTTAGGTAGTTGTCAAATATCTTCATTCAAATTTGAGAAAAATTATATTTTAGCAATTGATATTGCTTAATTCACAATGATTTATTTTTTTTAGAATAGCTAGAGCATTACTAAATACTTTGTTTTAGTTATTATTGCTAGAGTCACTACAGGTTTTTATTAAATCATTTAATAGTATTATATTTTTTTAAAAAATAATTCAGATTTAATATTTATAATTCTTGCAAAAAAAGAAAATAGATTTAATGAAAACTCTTATAAATTATTAGACTATTAGCAATTTGTTAAACAATTTAAGAATAGCATATAAAAAATAGTAAACTTAATTTAATATTCTATATGCAAGTAATCAATTGGCTTTTTTTAGTTTAATTATGATCAAAATAAATACTTGTAAGGTTTTGAATTTTTTATATTATTTTAATTTATTGATTCACAAATTTAAGATAGTTTGCATATTGCTTTTAAACTTAAATATATAGTTATTATTATTATTATTATAGTACTATTACAAATTAATAACTAAATAAATATTTGTATATTTTTTCATTATTTGTATTAAAATAATTAAAAAATTTGACTAAAAATTTTTGCAGAAATTGATTATTAAAATGCAAAAATAATTAAATAATCTTGTAAAAATTAAATATCAAAATACAAAAATAATTGAATAATTCTTCAGAAGTTATTAATGAACTCTAAAAACTCTTTCCCATACATCACTAAAATTAAGTAAACAAAAAAGTAAAAAATCGAAAAAACCATAGAGCATAATTAAATAACTATAAGATACAACAGCAGGAAGTATGTAGCACACTCCAACAGACCTAATAGACTTACAATACATAACAAATAACAAAATAACTAAAAGAACAAGAGACGAAAGCAACAGCAACTCAATACCCTACACAGTTTACAAGGTCACCCCAAGACTAAGGGGGAGACCCCAAAAAATGGACCACCAACAGCAGTCCTCAAAGA